AATTCGCAACTTTGCCCCCATTTACGCAGCCGCGTATCTCTTACAGTTTCAGAGATCCCAATGGTGAGGGTCGAATTTGAAACACCCTGTATACCCAAATAATTTCTCTCACGTACACATTACGCTGCCAGTGGTATTTGGTTTCCAGTGTATACCGAGTACGCATTCGTTCGATTGTACAGATGAGTCTACGTTCTATGCTTACGAGATCATGTGTAGAAAGATAACAAAGCTTGTAAATAACACGGTACATTATTTTTGAGACACCTGCTCCATCCAAACACCTCAGCTAAGTTTCGCACGGGTACTTGCAATCCTTTCCTCAGTTTACCGTCTCTGAGCAGGCGAGAATTACAATAACAACAGTGTAACAATCCCACCAAGTCCCGCGGGTTTATTTATAGGCTACAATCCTCGTTTCAGTACTCGTGGGCTATTTTCGACCGTGGTCTACTCTCGCGAGTCGCGGCAGTTAGTTTCCCTTGAAAAAATAGGGATACCTTGTTACTGTGTACAGGCTTACACGAAACTACATCGTGCAAACATCTTCAGGTACGAAGTGGAGTTTGGTGGTTCTGTGGTAGTGGTTTTCTTTTGGCTGCCAGCTGGGCGCTTTGCTGTATTTTTGCTTTTTGGATACCCGGATGGTAAGTCTGTTTTGAGAATTGCAAACAACGTTAATATAAAAGATTGATTGTTTTCCTGAATATTGCCAATCAGGTCAATAATCTCTTGGGTCACATACAATGTGAAGGAATTATCTAAGCTGATCAGTCAGTAAAAGGAAAATTTTGTATTTTTTAACATACATTGCATCTTGCTCCACGGAACTGTTGCAATATTATCTCATTCATCTCACTGAGAACTTTTCTCGGAAAGTAGGCAGACAATTAAGAAAATTTGGGGTTTTGGTAATATTTTAAATGTATATTATTATTAGATTTTTCGTGAGAATCTGAATTACTATCCTCCTATACCTAAGTGTTTTCGTTTCTGAAATTTCTTTGATTTTGTGAAAAAGATCATAAATTTAGGCCGATCAATAATCATCAATGTTTTGTGTCTTTGTCGTACGGTGCGTAATGGCTTTCTTATAGGCTGGGACTTGCTGTAGTAGACTTAATTCGATATTTTGATTCAGGGTGATCAAAAAAGAGAATAAAAATCAATATCTGAAAAATTCCAAAAGTCAATGTTTTGAAATGAAAGCCAATTTGTATAATTTTATCGTATAAAAATATAAGAATATTTATTATTACAATCTTTATGTACTCAAGTGCAATTTCGTACATTTTTAGTATTCAGGTACATTGTAAAATGAATTTTCTGACAATATTCGCCCTACTTCTATCTTAATTTGTCAAATAATATGTCGCAGTTGTAATAGGTTCTGGTATGTTTCTGAACTATTATTAAATTTTGGTTTCTAGATACTTGGCATAAACAATGGAAACAAACTGTAATACTTCCCAATATAGGTTACGCATCTTAAAATGTGAGTGCAATATACATCAAGAATTTCCTTTGACCTAAAAATGCCTCTGCAGGAGTTAAGTGGCTTCATTCCAATAAATAACTTAACGATTCCTTTTCGGGCCACAAACACTCTCTCAATTTCACATAATTTCCACCATATCATGATGATGCAAGATATGTGGTGATAGACCATGCATAATATATGTTCAGTAAATCTTTTTCGTAGAAAATCTATTACTTCCTCTATATCAAAATATGCTTTACTTACGTTTTTATAAACCTGATCAATATGATACTGAAATAAGGTCATATATATTTAGTTTCAGACTAATCATGCCATGGATGTTAAGATTATTACAGTAGTCTTACTATGATTCAGGGTTTGCCACCAGGACGAAAATTTGTAAAATACACTATAGATTTTAGTACGAAGAAAATTCCCATTTTTTGTAGATACAATCTTCATTCTCTTTTTTGATCGCCCTGTTTTGTTATGTATTCAAATTTCGAACAAAGTATACTAAGGTCACTCCTATAAGTCAAATACACAAAAATGGGTTATTCACCTGCATACATTAGTGATTTTTTCCACAAAACTCAAGTCATTTCAAAAACGGTTACACTTACTTATAGGATCATATATACATGTGTAGAAAAAAAATGAAAAACATGCAGACAACTTCATTTAAAATAAACGAGTTGGTATCAACTTCCGATATTAATCAGAACTGCCTCCATTTTTAAAATATTTTACTGGGTAATAGAGAGCTGGAGTTCTTCGTGGGATGAGTACACCTACAAACTTTCAAAAATATATAAAATGCTACGTTTGGCTGCCTATGCGCTGGGGCATTAAATTTTAATGATGAGTAGCAGAAAGTTTCCCGTTTGTGTCGAGGCAGTAGCTTGGGTTTGACACTTGCTTCAGGACTGGTTATTGTCATCAAAGAAAACACATCTATTATGAGAGACATTGCAACTGCCCAGTCGTCCTAAAATGCTAAAATCTATTATGGAGTAGTATTAGCCATCGATGGCTAATGTCAGGGGAAACCGGCTGATATGTTTTATCACCTTATTCGGTAGTTTGAAGATGACCTACAACACACTTAATGGGGCCTAAGTGTTATATCCTCTGCTGAATACTCTACTACTACAATGTACAGGCACTGAATGTCGAAATTCCTACTACATTTGTGTTTGACAAAAGTTGTGCAAATTAATGATAATGATTTATGTGCGTTTGCTAGCGACATTTCCATATTATATTATTTTCTGAACTCTTTATACTTAAATATTTGACATGCCATAGTAAGCCTAGCTAGTTGGCCACTGACTATTGAACGATACCAAAGCATATCTGTCTGCAACTTGATCGCTTTGTACAGGCATCGTACAAAGCTAACACCCTATTCGACCGTGCTTTTTTGTAAGGTAAAATGATGCATATCATTGATTTAAATCAGAACGATCTGCTCTATACAAAATATTTCACAAGTTCGTACGGCTTCGATTTCTTCGTCAGACATCGTTGTGGTTTTCAAGCCGCTGAAGAGCTTCAGAATTTTAAAATTGCGCATTCTTTCTTCATTCTTGGCTACCGCTCTTCCAATCGCTTTGAATTTCCTTATTGCGAAGACATTGACCATATTCCTTGGTACTCTATTTTGGAATCTCTTAATAATAAATAAACAAAGTATTCATGGCCCAACAGTTCTAATTACAGGACAATTTAAGCAATAACTAAATAGTATACCAAATACATAACTAAAACAAAGGTATATATAAGAAGAAAAGGAAAAAGAAATACATAGAATGAAAATATATACAAAAAGTACAAACCGACGCAATAAGAAAGTCAAGACATTTAAAAATCAGTCTCAGTGAGAGTGGATAACAGCTACATGGCGAAAATATAAAAAAAAAATCATAATCATAAAAATCATAATTATCAATCTAAAATAGTACTTCTGAGCAATCTATGAAACCATGAAGGAGCTTGTAAACAGCTGATACTGGATTTTGATTATAAAAATGAACAATATTCTAACCTAGACCTAGCAAACGCAAAACTAAGGTAGCAAAATTCACGTACCTATATTTTTTATTATTATTTTTTTTCGTGGAACGTGCTTTTGAGTGATTTTTCGAAAAAAAAAATTGAATTCAAAAGTACTACGTTGGGATAATAAGCAGGACGTTATATAATAATAGGTCTTTATTGCATCATTACTAACTAATCTACTTAACTACTTTTGATAAAAAAAATATCAATTTTTGAATTTAAAAAAGTATGGTGCTAAACCAGAAGTAAACACTTTAAATCGGGTAATTTCTATCGTTTTCATTTTCCATTTTTTACTCTGAAATATAGCCTAAGGTGTGTTTTAGAATGATAGACATATTAATAATAATTAAAGAGATAGATATTTTTATATACATACATGTCGCACTGGGTATAACGTTAGGCGCTTGCTTAGGTTGCCTGCTTTGCGAAATATCACATTAATAACTAGACTAGGTACTATGAGTATTTTTGAGCTTTCCTGATCATTTTAAATATATTTTGACTTTTATATGAGTGATCATTTCAAACTATATTTGGGTAACTTCTAGTGATTTCATTATGCTTTTTAACTCTAAAATATAGCCTAAACTCTGCTTAAAATAGACTAGAAGTCCTAGAATGGGATGCCCATTAATTTATGATTGGGTATTCTTAAGCACATATACATATGTCCACTGAGTGTGTACTAGATGTACAAACAGACTCAATATGAGCGAATTTGGAATGAACCTCTAGAGCAGAGTTCCCTAAATTTTTTGTGACCCCTTGCCATGTTTTTCCGTGTTGGGTAGACCCCCTACTTACCTGATATTGATTTCCTGTAAATTTCTAATTGTAGTGAAGTTTAGTGTTAAAAACTTAAAGTAAAAACACATGTTAATTTATTCATTTATTAATTGAGTTTAAATTAAAGCTACTCAAAATAAAATTTTGTATCTGTTATGTAAAATATACGTAACATTAAATAAACAGGTGTCTGACCAATAAGTGCCCGCATTGAAAAAAAAATAAGTGGGATAAAATAAAAAAAAAGTGAAAAATAAAAAAAAAGTTTTTTACTTAAAATAGTACAATAAGCGAGTTCGTTTATTAATTATAACATAAACGTATGTTCTACAATAATTTCACTGTTAGTTTGATTAAATTCCGCTTCTTATACGTTTAAGTTATCTAAAAATAGGCAAAAAATTAACGAATTTTAGTGTGTACCTATCCTTGAATTTTCAGAATAATTAAAAAAAAATATTTTCTATAAAGGGGGTTCTTTAAAAAAATCAATGCGGGCACTTATTCACAATGCGGGCATTTATTGGTCAGACACCAATAAACATTAAATAAACTATAAATGAAATAACATAATAAGTCAATATTTTTAGTGAGAAGGATGAACCTGATGCTTTAATAATAAATTATCAACATTTGGCGTCAATTTTGTAAGGGTTAATCTTAAATCTCCTCAGCTAATGATGTCCAGTCTGTTTCTTTTTTTCGTTAGGTGATTCGTAACAGCGCTGAACCCCCTTTCCACTAGGTATGAGGATGGAAAGAAAATTAAAAATTTCCTCGCTAGATTCCATAATACGGGATAAGTAACGGGTATGTTGTTTTGCAGCCAGAATTGCTCATATCCGTTTTTAAACTGAACCTTAAGTTCTTCCTTTGTACTTAGTTCAGTCAGTTCCTCTTGTATTATGACATTCGCTTCTTCTATGTCACCATATGGATTAATTATCCACGGTGGTATTACCATAGTCAAAATATCCTCAAACCTAGATTCAAAATCTGAATAGAGGACATTTAAATGTTGAACGTAAGTTGAAACGTCGTCTTCCTGGCAGCTTGTCTTTGACAAATTGGGGAACTGAGAAAATTCGCTCCGTCCAGTATTTTGCTTCATTAGTTTAACTCTGGCAAGAAACGCTGATAAGATGGACTTTGTTTTAATCAAATTTAAACTGTCGCCTTGTAATGGCAAATTAACCATATTAAATTTTGTAAACAAATCTGTTAAATAGGCGATGTGTGTTTTCCTCTTCATTAAATTTTCTTTTAAAATGTTATCTTTAGTATCCAGGAATTCTAAAATAGTCTCAAAAAGTGCAAAAAATCTTGTCAAACATAAGCCTTCCGACAGCCAGCGTACTTCAGTGTGAAGGAGTAATTGATGAAAGTGTTCGTCATTATCTTCACACAAATAACCGCGTATTCAACGCGTTGCTTCGAATTCGGTTTACTGCATCAATGACTAAATGAAGTGATTCATGCAATCTAACACTCAAATTTTTAGCAACTAAATGTTGTCGATGGATGACGCAATGTATTGCTAACACCCCTGACACATTTTGTTTTAAATAGCTTATAAATCCACGATAACTTACAACCCTGGCAGGTGCTCCATCTGTAGCTACTGATATTATATTTGATAAAAGAATTGCTTTTTCAATGAAGTAATGCATCAAAACATGAAATATTGATTCACCTTTAGTGTCGGTTATCAAAGTTCTCGCGAAGAGCAGTTCTTCGTAGATTTCTTGATTCATAATAAAACGAACATATGCCAATAATAATGCTGCATTATCAGGTAAAGTTGACTAGTCCAGTTGTATAGAGAAATGGGTCGTTTGCAAATAATTACATAAGAAGCTTTCAATATCAGAACTCATTTCATCAATACGTCTTTCAACAGTATTGTTGCTTAAGGGAATTCTTTTAATGATATCAGATGCAGATTTGTGTAAAACAGTTTTTAAAACCTCTTCAACGGCTGGCAAAATTAGCTTCTCTCCGATAGTAAGCGGTTTTCCGGATTTTGCTATAAGTAACGAGATACTGTAAGACGCCCGCAAACCATCATCATTTCTTTGTGACGTCGAAGCGAACATTCTGTCCAGTGTGTCCAGTGTAGGTCTCTTCTGAAATTTATCTTTGAGTGTTTGAAAGTATTTCAAATCTTTCTCTGTTTTATCAGGGTGGCATCTTCTCAGATGATCTTGCAGTTTAGATGGTTTCATAGCGTCATTGCGCAAAACTTTGTTGCATAAAAGGCACATAGGCGACTGTTTGTCCGGCAATGCTGGAATGAAGCCAAATTTCAAATAATCAACACTGTACTGTCTACATTTCTTTTTAGATTCGGACATGGCATCAGTCATCTGTGGGCAAAATTAAATTATTTAAATAAGTCAGAAAATCCAGCAGCTGTATATTAAAAATATTTTTTGATTTTTCCGAAAACATTCCATAATTCGAACATCTTGCAACAATTAGCTCGAATTACGGAGATTGCACTGTAATTATATTACCGATTGCTAAAACTTTCAAAAAGAAACTATTGAGGAGTACTCGTGTAATTTTGCATGATTGAATATTTAACTATTAATAACTAAAATCATGATTGGCGTAATCTTTGCTAACTACGAGTGCAAAACTAAAATTTAATAAAAAATAATGTACTTGCTTTTCTCCAGCACTCTCAAACAAAATAACACTGACTCACTATAATTTGTGTGATATATACTATCTGTTTATATTTTTTAAAATATTTTCTTAGCACTTTCCTTTTCAAGATTCAGGAAACGAATAAACGTATTTGTCCCACATTCGTATTTATGGAGTGACGAATTGAACAAGTCAGTGCAAGGTAGCGAAGCTCTGAGACTGCGACTCTCAGGTTTTTACAAGTTCAAAATGTATTGCGACCACAAAGCGAATACCAACATCCTACAACTTACAAAATTTTATAAACATATATAATAAATTTTTTACTTCATAGGTACTTTTATAAATAATGTATATGTTTTGATATTATAAGATAGTATGATGTAAGTAAATAGGTACTATCAGTGTATGTGTTGAGATCCACTATCGTGGACCCTCATATTCATTTCATAAACCCCCAAATTCTTTCTCGCTGACGTAGATCCCTTGCTGGTTGTCATAGACCCGTAGGGGTCGGGATAGACCACTTTGGGAATCAATGCTCTAGAGTTTTAAAGCTTCAACACTGGTGAATAATAAATTTCAATGAATCTGCAGACTCGGACTCTATCCATTCGGCACCTGTTCCCACTAGTAGTTACATATTTCGCGGGTAACAGGTTACGATATGTGTGGTGGAATTTCAAAACAAATACCTTCACGTACAACAGTATCCAAAACTGACAGAAGTCGTAAAAGTTAGTCATTGCCAGGTGAGAGTGATACTTTTCACAGGCGGATAAATGTTGGAAAAAAATAGTGTCATTCAACACAACTTACCTCTGATTGCAATGCCTGTTGGTAAGCAATATTGATTTTGAGTAATATGTGTGACTATTTTTTTTTTCATGATTTGGTATAAATATTCAACCGAGTTGTTCACAACATTCGGTCGAATATCGATATTAAAAGAGTGGCCGAATAAGATACCGAAGAGTAACCTAATATCTGTGTCATCGCTAACAAATAAATGGTAGTAAACTTGTTTCTGGATCTTGTGGATTCAAGTGGAATACGATTTATAAGGTAAACGATTCACGGTAACGTGAAAGCCAATCCGGTAAAATTTGCATTTCCAGGATCCAGGTTTCTATATGGTCGACATTCATCTGTTTCCGTCGCCGATGTGTCCGGAATTCCGACTGTGTGCCCGCTAACGAGTCTCAGCACTTCGGTTTGCATTGCACTGCTTTCTAGATCGTCGTATACGTACAGAATGTTGAAAGGGCAGGAAGGAACGTGGCGTTTTAACAATTCAACCTCTCTTGACCCTGGTCATGGATCACTGGATTCGTAGGTGGAAATTTATATAATATCAAATGGTGTAATGAACATATGAATTTTAGTATCCAAATACAGATATACTTTTATGGAATGAAATAGATGATTTAATTTTATTTTTTTATCTGCTGGAAAATTGGTCAATCAAATGATTACGAACGGTTAACGATGTCCAAGAATAACATTAAAAGAAGTTATCAGTTCATTAAACGGTTATGTGTTTAACTCATACAAATATCAAATGATATAATAAATATATGAATTTTAGTATTCAAATATAGCTATATTTTTATGGAATCAAATAGATGACTTAAATTATTTTTTTTGTCTGCCGGAAAATTCGTTAATCAATGGTTTATTCGTACAGCCTGTTTGCTGACAATCAGCAAACTGATAGTCGGCGAAAAGTCATGACCTGTTTATGAAGTTAGCTGTCACTGACACGTCGCTGACTGTATTGATTGCGTACATGAGACCGTTACGAGTTGGCTGAGGGAGGTAAGACCGATTACCGACCACTAATCCGCTGTTCCTACAGAAACTTCTGACTGTTTGATGACTGTCAAATTAGTCAGCAGATAATTTTCCAGTAAATTGTCAGAGCTCGAAATTAAGTACAATAATCATTCGAATGTAAAATTTTCAGAATGAAGTAGAGAATTTTGGAAAAGTTGGGGTATGTTCATTTGCTGTAAACCAGAATAATCTAGGACTTTTGCGCTAGAGAGGAAAACATGAACACTTTCTAGAAAAAATAACACCACCCAGAAATGTCAAGTAGATTTACTCAGTAGTTCCCATTCAATTCTAATATACAAAGTATAAACAAATTCAAAGAAACATGATTCCACACATCGAATGACAAGTTGAAGAAGTAAATACATAGTAAGAATTCTGAATAAACGTCTGCAGTGACTATGCATGAGAAATGTTTAAAGTATTGTGTATGACTTTTAATAAAACTCGGGTAGTAGGGTTTTTGTTCCCTGTACGCTTGTCGCCCAGCTTCGAAGTGTATGCAGACACAGTATTTATATATTCTAGCTATGTACGTCCAACCCAAAGCTGATGAAAAAATAAACAAAATAACGAATTATGGAGATTTTGTGATACAGCTTTTTTTCACGGGTGCCCACGGAGAGGAAGTGACTGTTTCTGCTGGGGTAAAAATAATATTTCCCCTATACAGGGTATTTTAAATTCGACCCTCACCATTGGGATCTCGGAAACTTCAAGGGATACGAAGTCACTTAAATAGGGGCAAAGTTGCGTATTCAGATAATCAGCAAAATGTCGCTTAGAAAATTTTGAAATTGAAAGTAGTAGTAGTAGTCCGGGAAGAGACGTAAAAAACGAAATTTCCCAAAATGATTTTAATTTTCTCCTGACTCTATTTGTGGTGGGATTTCAAAATAAGTTGCACATCAACTCTGACACATTTTCTCTTCTACAAGACGGCACAATTAGAATTTAAATATGACGTTTCGTCTCTTGTCCTCCAGCATCAACTTAATTTGTTCTTATAGACGCCATATTGGATTCTTACACAGGTGAATAGAATTTTTATTCTAATTTCAAAAATATATATGTCATACATTGACATTGCAAAACCTTAGTTATTCCAGAAGTTCCTAGGTAGGCCATGAAATTATATATTTAACTTTCATCCAACAACAAATTTATGGTCAACTAACGAAATACATCACTGAATTTAGGGCTGAAAAGTCCATTTAACTGTATAAAATTTCCATATAGTGTCCGTACGTAGAACAAAATTGATGATGGAAGTCGACAGAAGAAATGTCGAATTGAAAATTTGACTACGCCATCTTGTAGACGAGAATAAGTAACAATGACAATATGCAATTTATTTTGAAATCCCATCTCAAATAAAGTCAGGAAAAACAAGAAGTAACTAAGGTTTGGCAACGTCAATGTATGACGTATTATGCATTTCTCGAATCAAAATTTTCATAAGTAGATGCGTTATTCAGTAATCTAATGTTTCCACAGGGTGTTCAGAAGTTTAGGGAAAATGCACCTTTTAGTTACACCCTGGACAACAACAAACATTTCCAATTTCTTTGAAAGATCGGCAGTCGATAATGATGAAGCTATTTGAAATTTTGAACAAAATTTCGTTTGTCCTGTTAATTTTGCGTGGCAGTGTATTATCACTATTTGAAATTACGCGACTTACAAACTTAAAACGTAATAAAGAACAACAACAACATAAACAAATATTATTACTGAATATCTACACTATACAAACTCGAAAATACCCCCTCCATATTTGAAACAGCCGAAGGCTTTGGCTGCTGCATATATTCTCTTATTTTTTCAAACGCGTTCTTTATCCTCTTCTTCATATTTTCTGGGATAGATGGGAGGGATCCTTATAAACTCTTTGTTTAATATAGCCCCCAGAAAGAATTCCGTCGCAATCAGATCTGCACAGGTGCGCCATCATGCTGGTCGTATATCTCCAGGCGAATTTGCAGGTTGACATCCTGCTG